ATTAGAAGTATCATATTGCAAATTCATGTCTAACATCTAATTTATTTAAATTGCCCTTTTCTAATATAAATAATAATATTACTATGTGAAGTTAAAGACTTTATATCATTTAAGAATATATACTATAAACAACAAATATGAAAAAAAAAATGACAAAATTATTTTTTTTGCATCTATATGTATGCATATATTCTAATAAAAAAGTATAAGGCATCTTATTAAAATCTGGCTTAAGGCCACTAGTTTTATCAAGCTGCCCTTGGTAAAGGGAATAATCCCTTTTAGATTTTCTTTTTCATTTTCATAGTTTTGAACCGGTAAAGGGAATTTGTCCATGATTTTGAGAATTTGTCCATGATTTTGACTTAAATATAGCTTTGCTGGTCTATATATTACATGGCTCGTAATTAGGTAGCTATGTTTAATTTTCAAACATGTCTAATTGAACATATTATTCCCTTAAGAACTTTTTTTGTGGGATGGCTTTGGTCAATTGGTCATCTAACTTTCCAGTGAGACTTACCAAGGGCAGCTTGATAAAACTAGTGGCCTTAAGCCAGATTTTAATAAGATGCCTTATACTTTTTTATTAGAACATATGCATACATATAAATGCAAAAAAAATAATTTTGTCATTTTTTTTCATATTTGTTGTTTATAGTATATATTCTTAAATGATATAAAGTCTTTAACTTCACATAGTAATATTATTATTTATATTAGAAAAGGGCAATTTAAATAAATTAGATGTTAGACATGAATTTGCAATATGATACTTCTAATATTATTGTAAAAAAATATATTTACTAATATGAATATTTAAGTAGTTTAATTCAGAGTTTTAAAAATATTTTCACTGTTAAGGAGTAGATAGCTTTTTTTTTTTTTTTTTTACATTTTTTTGTATTTATTTTTCTACAAACATTAATATTGTCTAGTTTGAAATAAAATTAAAAAATTCATTATTAAAAATTTTGGGGACCTAAATCAAGGCTTTACTAGTCTCCTACTAGAGCGACTTGCCCACCCATGATATTCTTAATCAAGTTTGTTGAGTCTCAATTAATATAACACAAAAATGGCAAGAACATTAAATACAATGAGTGTGTCATTCAGTTACCAGATCGGCCCAGACCGGTTTCAGACCCGATCGGTTCAGCCCAGTGGTAAAGGGGCCGGACAAGAGTGGGCTTGTAGGTGAACAGGACTGTGCCGGTGGGATTCTAGCTACCTATTAATCGGACTGGTTAAAACTAGTAAAGTCTTGTCATTGATGAACCGGTGGACCGTATCGGCCCAGACCGGCATAGAACGTTTTAACGACTAGTTTCAATATTTTTTTAAAATACATTTGACCGCTGGCAACGGTCAACGATCATTGCCCAACGGCTTTAGTTGCAAGAATAACTTTTTTTGGACTTTTTTTTTAAAAAAAATAATACTTTTATTATTTACTAATTTAACCTTTTGAAAAACTATAAATAGACCCCCTCCTCTTCTTCATTTCTTCACTCATCTATCAATTCTCAAACCCAAATTTTCAATTGTCATTCTCTCATTCTTCAACTAAATTGCTATCAACTATTTGGCTCTCATTTTTTGAAATTTTATTTATGGTATTATTTGAAGTTTGAACAATTGAAGTTTATTTGTGGTAATGTCAGAGTTGCAAAATTCAATTTCAAGACTTCAAAATTCATCAAGTGTTCAATTTAATATGGAATTCAGTGCACTTGTCCCGACTCTTTCTCCTATTTAATATTTTATTTGTATATTTAATTTTTATTAGTAGTAAAATTTTCACAATATATTTAATGCTGCAAAACAAGTTTGTAATAAGGTTGTTAATCGGGTTAACTGGAAAAATAAAAAAAGAGGTGCTACTTCAACTTCTGGTGGTAATTTAAATGACTTTATACATATTTCTGAAACATCACCTGATAATAATATAGATTATGAACAATTACAGGAAGATTACGGTATATAAGATAATGAATTAGAAATTGAAGATGAGACACCACCGACACCTAGCAGTGTTGGAGTTGGTAGCAGGGGTGGTGGTCGTGGCACTAGTAGTAGAACACATGTGGCCCTGACTACTAGTCATCGGAGAATGAGAAGTAAAGTTTGAAATTTTTTTGAGGAAATAGAGAATTCTGATAGATTTAGATGCAAAATTTATAAAGATGATTTTAAATATAAGATTGGAGGAAAGTTAGTGAGGGACTAGGGCACTTAGTAGACATTTGAAAATTAGTC